AACCTTGTCAAGAATCAGTGGACTGTAGACACATGGGTTTATTTCTGGACTCTTAGTTCTATTCCATCCACCTTGTTTTCTGTCCGTACTTAAACCAATACCAAAATGTTTTGATTACAGTTGCTTTGTAGTAAAGTCTTGAAATTGGGAAGTGTGCATCCTCCAATTTTGTGTTTCTTCTTAAAGATTGTTTTGGCTGGGGGCGCCTGGGTGGCTCAGTCAGTTAAGCGGCTGCCCTCTGCTCAGGTCATGATCCTGGGGTCCTGGGATCGAGCCCCACGTCCAGCTCCCTGCTCAGTGGAGAGCCTGCTTCTCCCTCTCTGCCTGCCACTCTGCCTACTTGTGTTCTCTCTCTGTCTCTCTGTGAAATAAATAAAATCTCTAAAAAAAAAATTGTTTTGGCTGTTCTGTGTCCCCTGCAATTTCATATGAATTTTAGAATTAGCTTCTCAATTCCTACAAAGAAGTTAGCTGGGATTCTGATAGGGATTGTGTTGAATTTGTCAGCTTGGGGAGTATTGGCCATCTTAACAGTATTAGGTCTTCCAGTCCATGAACATGGGCTGTCCTTCAAGCTATTTTGATCTTTAATTTCTTTCAACAACGCTCTGTGGTTTTCAGATGATATATTCTATTTCTTTTGTTAAATTTATTCATAAGTATTTTATTCTTTTTGATGCTGCTATAAATGAAATTGTTTAAATTTCATTTCGGATTGTTATATAGAAATTGATTTTTATACAATGATCTTGTATTCTGCAAACTCATTTATCAGTTCCAGTAGTTTAGTGTATACCTTAGGATTTCCTATATATACAAGATCATGTCATCTGTGAATATAGTTTTACTTCTTTTCCAATCAATACCTTTTATTTCGTTTTTGCCTACTTGCTCTGGCCAGAACCTCTAGTACAATGTGGAATAGAAGTGTTGAGTGTGGACAGTATTGTCTTTTTCCTCATCTGGTTTTGTTATCAAGGTTATGCCGGTCTCATACAAATGAGTTGGAAAATGTTCCTTTTTCCATATTCTGGACCAGGTTTAAGGTCTGAGTTATTCTTTGAATATGTGATGAATTTGTTGGTAAAATCTTTCTGGGTTTTCTCTTATTTTCATTGAAAGATTATCTACTGATTTCAATTTCTTTAGTGATTATGAGGTTTTTCAGTTTTATATTTTTTTCTTGAATTATATTAGGAAAACTAGTGTAGGATTTATCCATTTCTTCTCAACTTTAAAATATAGTAGGATAAAATTTTTGTAAATCCTCCATTTGTGATGAAAAATACAAGTTTGAAGTTGTCTTCTGTATGTGTCCATTAGGTTAGAGTTACCAACTGTCATATTCAAATCTTTCTCTTTACTGGTGCTTTTTCATTTGCTGGGCTACCCATTACCAGGAGGTCCAGGCTGTGTTTCTGGCCAACCAGCTATCAGTCAGGGATTCACATAATCTCCTCCTCAGGTTTGATTAATTTGCTAGAGCAGCTCACAGAACTCAGGAAAGCCATTTCCTTCCTGTTTGCCAGTTTATTATAAAAGGATATGATAAAGGATACTGATGACCAGCACATGGAGGGGATGCTTAGGGCAAGGTGTGTGGGAAGGGGTGTGGAGCTTCCACGCCGTCTCCAGGCACGCCATTCTCCCTGCACCTCCACGTGTTCAACCCGGAAGCTCTCCCAATCCCGTGCTGCCGGGATTTTATGGAGGTTTCCTTGGGTAGGCATGGTGGGTCATCAACTCCATTTTCAGCCCCTCTCCCTTCTCAAGAGTATGAGGGTGGGGCTGAAAGTTCCAAACTTCTAATCCCAGCGTGGTCTTTCCAGTGACAGGAGCCCACCTGGCGTCGCCTCATTAGAACAAAAGGCACGCCCATCACCCAGAAATTACCAGGGTTTCCGGAGCCCTGTGTCAGGAAGGGGTCAGAGACCAAATACCAGAACAAAAGGTGCTCCGAGCGCTCTTACCATGCAGGGAATTACCGGGGTTTCAGGAGCTCTGTGCTGGGAGCCTGGGCAGAGGCCAGTACATACTTTCTTTCTTTCTTTTTTTTTTTTTTTAAAGATTTTATTTATTTATTTGACAGAGAGAGAACACAAGCATGGGGAGTGGCAGGCAGAGGGAGAGGGAGAAGCAGGCTGAGCGGGGAGCCCGATGCAGGGCTCGATCCCAGGACCCTGGGATCATGACCTGAGCCGTAGGCAGCTGCTTAACTGACTGAGCCACCCAGGCGTCCCCAGTACATACTTGCTATTATCTCATGATTGCCTTTTTTTCCCCACATCCTTCTCCCCCTTAAATTTTGAAGTTACTCAATTTTTGTTTTAACATTAGGAAATTTGTCCATGCTTAACGTTCATGCTTTCCTCTCCTCTGCAGTAGCGTGAGAGTCAACACCAGAATGTCAGTCCTTCCCTCCCCATGCACGAGGTAGTCGTCATCATGCGCACGATGCCTCAGCTGTGTGACCGCACAAGAGATGGTGGTGTAAAGCCATGATGTTAGGACTACACATTCACCACTCTCTTGCTCGCACAGGAGACCTTTTATCTCAAACCAGTCCTTCTGCCTGAAGTCTGTCAGAACGGGAGTTAGGCGGCAGGCTCTACTTGGCGAGTGGGCTGCACTTGGTTCGTTGTATTGGAAGGAGGCCAGGCCCATTTGCATATCGTCTCCCACTGTTTTCACATTCCAGTGGTGTTGCAAAGGTGTGACTGAGGGTAGGTGGCCTGTGGAGCCTAAGTTATTTACTGTCTGGCCCTTTATAGAAAAGGTTTGCTGATCTCCACATTAGTGAGGCTCTGAAAACGTGTCCTGCGTCTTCCTTCTTCTGGACGGTGTTGGAGGGTGTGGGGTTCTAGGTCATGGCTGTCCTGTGGGCTCCCCACTGTTTTCTGCCTTCACTGTCGTGGTGGATGAGTGCCATGGTTCCTTTCCCAATGTGTTGCCTTTACTGTGTGGTTGATCTTAAGATTTTCTCTTTGTCTTTGGTGCTCTGCAGTTTCATCATGCCCTAGCCAGGTGTGAGTTTCGTTTCGTTTCTATTTCTGTTTATTTTGCTTGATTTCTGAATCAGTGGATTGGTACCTTCTGTCAGTTCTGGAAATTTTTCACCCTTTATCTCTTTAGGTATTTAACCCTGCTCCATTCTCTGTTCTTTCTTCTTCAGAAGATCAGATTACATATTCGTTCAGCCTTTTTAATCTGTGAATGCCTGTTAACCTCCCCTCATATTTCCTCTCTGTCTCTCTCTGCTTCTGGTGATGATGGTGATCGCTTCTTTAGATCCATCTTTTTGCTGGGTTCTGGTTTCTTAGATCCATCTTTTTGCTGGGTTCTGGTTTCTTAGATCCATCTTTTTGCTGTGTTCTGGTTTCTTCTGCTCTTAAGCCCATGTATAGAGTTAATTTAAGTTCAATGATTATATGTACGTCTTTTAAGTTCTTTGTCACATATGCTGAGTTCTTGTTCTTTTTATTCATATTTTCAGAAACTTATTTCTTTAAACACGCTTATTCTCTGTGTATAATAATTCCAACATGTAGAGTCTTGCAGATCTGACCCTGATATCTGTTGTTTGTCTTAACACCTTGTTTTCTTGTCTTCATTTTCTGGACTGCATGTATGTGGGTGGGTTTTTGTTTTTGTTTTTAATTGTCTATGGGAATTTATTTTTTTTAATTTATTTGAAAGAGAGAGAGAGAGAGAGAGAGCGCACATGAGAGGGGGGAGGGTCAGAGGGAGAAGCAGACTCCCCGCTGAGCAGGGAGCCCGAAGCGGGACTCGATCCCGGGACTCCAGGATCATGACCTGGGCCTAAGGCAGTCGCCCAACCAACTGAGCCACCCAGGCGCCTCTATCTATGGGAATTTCTTGAGGCCTGGGTCAAGGACAGGTTTTTCCAGAGACAATTTGCATTTCTGCTGCCCTGGGGGTACTACCAGCCTAGATTTCTCTTTCTCTCTCTCCTTTTTAAAGTAGGCTCCATGCCCAGTGGATCTTGATTTCACAACCTGAGATCAAGACCTGAGCTAAGAGTCGGACCCTTAACTCATGTTATGATTTATGCTTCTGTTATGGGTAGGCAGGCATAAGAAAAGATCCCTTGAAAAATCCTACACCTGCTGTAAAGCAAGGAGATGTTATAATACTGGAATATTCTTCCATATACCATTTCTAAGAATCCTTTTAGTAAATTTCTCCAGAATTTAGGGCTAGGCATTTATATCATTTGACGTGCATTTGCGTGTCTCTCCTTAGAAGCCTGTGGAACATCAAACTCTCCTCCCTCCCCCACCTCCCCTTCCTTCTCGGTTCCCCTCTGTGGTTTTCATAAAGATCAAAGCTTATGGCAGTTATAGTATTTATCTCATCTTTGGTTTTGAATACAATTGTTTTCCCACCATGGCTTTCACTCTCTTTTAAAAGTTTTATTTTACTGTTCTCAATTTTTTAAAGTGTTAGTATTACACACCAATCCATAAACCTCTTTGGAAATAGCATGGTCCACACTGTAAATAAGTTGGCCTTAAACTAAATGAAGGTAGTAAGTAAACTGATTAGTGCTGGGAGCGCAGCCGCTGTCTAGTCCCGATACGAGATGCTCTCAGTGTAATGGAGCCGCTCGCTAGAGTGGACACTCTTCTGCCCATGTGCTCTTTTACAGCAAGATTAACAGGAAGAAGGACAAGGAACAGGTATGTAACAAATAGAAATAAAAATAGTGACTCTCAGGTGTACACGAGGAGAGCGTCATCACAAAGGCAGTTTAGCTGAATAGGAGAACACTCAAAAGTAATTTTCATAAAACCACTCTTGGTCATCACTATGCCTTTTTTTTTTTTTATAGAGTCTTCTCTTTCAAAGCTGCTTCTTTGTTTTTTAGTTAAAACACAGTTTGATTGCTGCGGACGTTCCCACATACATGAGGTGTGTGGGCCTTGGCTGCTGACTTGGACTTACGAGCCGTGGAGCCCCACAGGGTACTAAAAGCCGTGGAGTAACCCAGTCGTCCGAAAGATAATGGACGTGTTTTCAGTTGTAGGAAGAAAAGATACAATTTTATATTTGAAATGTCATTGGCTAATACCCAATGGATTTTCCAAATTAGGTTATCAAAACCTTAATTATCCAAAGTCAGTTTAAGTACTGAAACACACAGACACACGACACTAACATTATAAGATTAAAGGCACATAAGAACGAGAATGTCATGTCAGAATGTATGAGGATATTGATTATATTTAAATAATTACTTTTCTTTTTCCTTCTGTAGGTGAAGATGACTGAATAGAATTTACCACAGTTACTTTAGAATCTCCAAAAGCGTTGCTGGCGGAGGCCTGACTAGGAGGTAGATGGTGCATCTTCTTACTTTCCAGAGTCTCGTCAGCCTGTTTAGGAGCAGCCGTGCTGGTCTGGTCGTGTTTAAAGACATAGCCCGACCCAAAGAGTTCTTCCATTAGACTGCTTTTCTTATCTCTGAAAGTATCTTTTGCTTTTGTTCGGGAAGACTTGCCAAAAGAGGGTTCATACCCACTCACAGAATGTTCTGGCTTCAGTCCGGCCGCGTTACTGCGAGGCTTGCTGGTGCCCACGCCGCCTCTCATCCCACCTGCCCCGACCGGGCCGCCCAAGGCAGGAAGCCCGTGGTGCAGGTTCTCAGTCACTTCTGTGAACGAGTAATGCTTTCTCTGTCTGAAGGGTACCTTGATGTTCGCAGCACCATTTTTATCAGGCATCTCGTCCGTGTCATTTATTTGGAGACTTGTTTTGAATTTTTCTTTCCCTGCATTGTCTTCCTGCTTGCCTTCCCTTTCAGGATGAGTTACTTGAATTCTTTTTGGCGGTAGTTCTTCTTCTTTCACCAAAGTGGTTTTCTTTTCTTGATCTTCTTTTGTTTCTCTCTGTCTTCCAGTATTCGCCGGAGGTGGTTGTACTTCCAAATGTTCCTCTTCCTTCGATAAATCTATATTTGAAAAATAGTCTGTTTAGTGATCTTTAAAATGTAGGGATTTCTGTTTCAAGAAGGCATACTGAGCACACTATTGATATCTGACAGGCACATGAACATGACATGCATCCAACACTAGAATACAGGGAAAGGTGCTGGTAACAAGCTTGAAATGTTCTACTTCCCTAGAACGTGCCAAATAAATAAGAATTATGAAACCAAAAGAAACATGATATTCATGAAAGAAGAACTAACATTTGCTAAGAAGTTACCGGTGGATGCTCATCATTCCTAGGCGATGGAGTGCCGTTTAAAACAATGAGAATACTTTTCACCCATCCAAATTGGCAAATAGTTTCCAGATTTGGTGAGAATATGGGGAAATTGGAACGTCTGTTCCCCATTGGTGGGTGTGTCAATTGGTACAGCTTTTTTTGGATGGCAATTTGACTGTAACTATACAAAAATTTTAACTTTTTTTTTTTTTTTTAGAGCAAGAGTGTGCACGTGTGCATGGGGGTTTGGTGAGGAGGGGCAGAGGCAGAGGGAGAGAGAGAATATCAGGCCGATCCCCCTGAGCAAGGAGCTCGGCCCAGGGCTCAGTCTCACGACCCTGAGATCATGACCTGAGCTGAAACCAAGAGTCAGATGCTCAGCCGACTGCACCACCCTGGCACCCCTGTATCTATCACAATTTAAGTGAACATACTCTTAGATCCAACAACCTCACTTCCAGGACCAAACTGTACAAAAATACACAAAGATACACCTCAGGATGTGTACTGCAGCATGGTGTAGTAACAAGGAAACATCCTAAATGTGTGAAGGGGCCACGGGTAAAGAAATGGCGTGCGCGGTCCGTGGGATTCTGGGCAGCTATTATAACGACTGGGGTGGGGACGTGGGGACTGACGGGGAGGGAGGTTCACGTAGGCTGTTAAATGAAAAAGTCGTTTGGAGGTGAGCTTTCCTTTCCCGTTCCTTACTCAGGCACTCAGGAAGCCCTGCCCTCAGCCTCCCCTCTTCGGAGGAAGGGCTGTTCCAGATACAGAGATGCACACCTTCTGAGGAAACCCGCACCCACGACCTGCGTCCTGATCACTTACAAACCTGGACCGTCGCTCATTTGTGGCGGGGAATGGGGCAATATCACATGAACACGGGGTTGGGAAGTTTTCTCACGTGAACACATTCTCAAATGAAAGTATTCATTTTAATCTGGGAAAATTAAAAAAAAGGGGGGGGATTCTAGCAAGAGCAATTGTTTTAAGAATTAGTGGTGAGCAAAGAAGCCAGCAGACTATATGGTTAATTCTAAATAACTGTTCCTGTTGTGCCCCGCGATACCTGATGCAAATGTGAACACGGGACACCTTGGGTGAAACGGCCCCTTTGCCACCTCCCCCTGGGTGAGCCCCCTTCCGGGGCTGGCGCAGTGGGCTGCTCCCGGCCTCCCTGCCCTGCTCTTCCCGCACAGCGGCTTCTCCTCCGAGCCCTTCGTGGCTCCCCGCGCCCCCACCGTGCTCACCGAGCTGTCCCGCAGCTGGACTCGGCCAGCGCCCCCCGCAGCCCCCCCGCTGCGCAGTCCCCCCTGCGGGGCGGCGCGGGCATCGCCTGGAAGGCCCTCCTCGGGTGTCCGCGCCGGTCGCCCCCTTCCGCCCCCCGTGGCTGCCCTCCCCGCCCCTCTCGGTGCCGGCGCTCTTGGCACCTCCCCGGCCCTCAGCCGTGCGGCAGAGCTGCCCTGCTGCCCGCCCGGCGGGTCCTTCCTCGCTGGCTCAGCGGCGCACGAGGGCGCGACTCCTCCCCGGGACCGGACGGGACACCGTGTGTGCCTCAGGAGTCTTTGTCCCGGGAATGGATGAGCTTTCCGGGACAATAACTACCGACACGGACTGACAGCGCCGTGGAAACCGACCCGCGGACTTGTCAGCCTCCGTCGGCCCCAGACGCGGCGGCGTCCAGCGAGCTCCGTCGAGCCCTGTGCCATTTGGGCGAATTCGGGGGCCCCCCACTGAAGGTGGGGCCTCCGGAGCGGGACCGGGCGGGGGGACTGCCCGCAGCGGCTGCGGTTGCCCCGCCGTGGGGCGCGCGGCGCATTTCCGGTCAGCAGTAGTTTCACATGGACGCCAGGGGGCAGTGGCTTTAGAATTCTGAACCGAGGGGCGCCTGGGCGGCTCCGTGGGGGAAGCCTTGGACTCGATTTCTGCTCGGGGCCTGATGCCAGGGTCGTGAGATCGAGCCCGCACGGGCACGGTGCTCAGCGGGGAGTCCGCTTGAGATTCTCTCTCCCCCCCTCTGCCCCCAGCCCCACTCGCGTGTGCCCACTCTCTCTCTCTAAATAAATAAATACAATCTTAAAACAGAACTCTGAAGGTAAATGATCTCCAACCCAGAATTTCTTTCTAGCCAAGTATTCATCAAGCGTGAGGGTCGCGTAATGCCGTTTCCCGCGGACAGGCAGACACATCTACCTTACACGTACCCATTCTCCAGCAGCTGGGGGAGGATGTGCTCTTAGGGCATGACGGCTCTTACCCAGGAGGAGGCCACGGTTTAGGAACCAGAAGACTTGGCAGAGAACGGGGTGGCAGGAGCCCGTGGGGAAACGCAGGTCCCAGCACCAGAGCTGCGCGCCAGAGGTACAGGGGACCGGTCCGGAGGCCAGGAGGCTGAAGCACTGCGGGCTGGCGCCACCAAGACCCCTGCTCCGCAGAACTCCCGGCACGGAACGTCCTTGGCCTGTCTTGCCCGGGGCCCGATGAAGGTGTTGCCCTCGCCATCATGCGCTGCAGCCTGGCTTGGCTGGGGGCAGGAGCGTTCTGCCTGGACCTACTCCCGAGCGCTGGAGCTGAGTCTGGTGATGTTAAGACAGGAAATTCTGGGCAGCCCGTTCCCTCCCACCCCGTCTGTCCCGGTGTAGGTGCCAGGGCCCTGATGGTTCTCTGCCTCCCAGGGGGACGCTTGACTTCACCCCAGATCCGACCCCTTGTATGTCCGGGGAAGCTGAGGCCAGAGTCTGTGCGTCTTTTCCGGGGAGTCTTCATTTAAAGTCTTCCTTAGCAGGGATGTTGCCCTTTACTCAGCTAGGTTTGGTTTTGCTGCTCAGTGTGGCAAGACTAAACATATTGTTTAAGGATACACACTGTGAGGAACAGCAAGGGAATGACGGGCATAAAATGGAAGATGGTGGTTATTTCTGGCGGGCGGGGGGGGGGGGGCCTGTGGTTCGGAAAAGGCCCACAGGTGTTGGGGGAACACGAAGGTGCTAGTTCTTAAGCAGGGGTGTGGCTACACAGGTGTTCATTGCCTAATAATTCTTTACATTGTATATATGTGTTTTATGTATATTTTTATTTACTTTTTATAAAGACTTAATTTATTTGATGGAGAGAGAGAGAGCACAAGCAGGGGGAGCAGCAGAGAGAGAGGGAGAAGCAGGCTCCGTGAGGGGCTCGATCCCTGGACCCTGAGATCATGATCTGAGCCGAAGGCAGGCTTAACCAACTGAGCCACCCAGGCTCCCCTTAAGTATACTTTTCACACACACACCACACACACACACAGAATAATTCACAACTTAAATCAAGTAAGAGTAAAGGAAACTTTTTTGAAAGTGGTTACAATTACCTTCATATTTTCTCTTGGAATCCTCTTGGTTTGGAAGTTTGCTGATATAGTGAGGAATTGCACAGGTTATTTCAGTTGATTTTCCTTTATGACCAATGTTTCCAGTTGTCTTTTTACCCTATAATTTAGAAAAGCAGCAAAACCACATTTTTGGGGGGTACAGGCAATTTTAAATTGTATTTTGTTCAATGAATATAAATACTTTTTGTGGAGAATAAGAGACTGTTTATGCCCTGTTTTCATAAAGATATGTTCAGACACTGCAAGAATTCAAATCTGTTGTACCTTAGCTGTCAAAGATGGAGCATCTTCCGATTTTTGGGTTTCCTGGTGTTTCATACTTGTCAATGAAAACCTTCTGTCTGCTTGTACAGATTTTGTTGAAGAAACTACAGAACAGATACATTATATGTAAGAAACATTTTACATGTGGAAGCAACATTGATTTTAGATATAAAACAACACTGAAGTTTGTAGTGTAAGAGTGTACAGACATTTAAAACTTTTTTTTCCCCAAAATATGGATAACATTTGCCGGTTCCCCTTTACCCTACCATTTCACCGGTTTTGTCTTATTTTGGGCCACATAGGTTATGGGTGTCCAGGAGGCTTTAGGCCAGGAGGGCCTTGCTGTTGGTGGACACGCCTTCCCTGCCCAGACACACAGTCGTGAGGCAGTGAGCCACAGCGACCTCCTGTGGCGGTGCTCTTGGTTACCAATGGTTAGAATGATGGCTCACGCTGGAGCCTGCCACTAAACCTACACTTTCCTCCAAGTGTGATCCCATTTAAATGACCCCGTGGTTGGTATGATCATCTCTGCTAGCTATTAATCTGGATTACAAAGCAGAAGCAAACAAAGGAAGGCAAGGAAATTTGAGGCTGTTGCCTTTAAAAGTAAGCGTGTAGACAGATGACAAATACCCTATGTGGAAAACCCAAAAGACTCCACCCCAAAACTGCTAGAACTCCTACAGGAATTCAGCAAAGTGGCAGGATAGAAAATCAATGCACAGAAATCAGTTGCACTTCTATACACTAACAATGAGACAGAAGAAAGAGAAATTAAGGAGTCAATCCCATTTACAATTGCACCAAAACCCCTAAGATACTTAGAAATAAACCTAACCAAAGAGGCAAAGGATCTGTACTCAGAAAACGATAGAACAGTCATGAAAGAAATGGGGGAAGACACAAAGAAATGGAAAAACATTCCATGCTCATGGATCGGAAGGACAAATATTGTTAAAATGTCTATGCTACCTAGAACAATCTATACATTCAATGCAACCCCTATCAAAATACCATCAATTTTTTTTCACAAAGCTTGAACAAATAATCCTAAAATTTGTATGGAACCAGAAAAGACCCCGAATAGCCAGAGGAATGTTGAAAAAGAAAAGCAAAGCTGGGGGAATCACAGTTCTGGAGTTCAAGTTGTACTACTAAGCTGTCATCATCAAGACAGTATGGTACTGGCACAAAAACAGACACATAGATCAATGGAACAGAATAGAGAACCCAGAAATGGACCCTCAACTGTATGGTCCACTAATCATCAACAAAGCAGGAAAGAATGTCCAATGGAAAAAAGGCAGTCTCTTCAACAAATGGAGTTAGGGAAATTGGACAGCCACATGCAGAAGAATGAAACTGGACCATTTCCTTACACTATACCCAAAAACAGACTCAAAATGGATGAAAGACCTAAATGTAAGACAGGAGTCCATCAAAATCCTAGAGGAGAACAAAGGCAACAACCTCTGTGACCTCGGCCGCAGCGACTTCTTGCTAGACACATCTCCAAAGGCAAGGGAAACAAAGGCAAAAATGAACTATTGGGACTTCATCAAGATAAAAAGCTTTTGCACAGCAAAAGAAACAGTCAGCAAAACTGAAAGACAACTGACAGAATGGGAGAAGATATTTACAAATGTCTTATCAGATAAAGGGCTAGTATCCAAAATCTATAAAGAGCTTACCAAACTCAACACCCAAAGAACAAATAATCCAAACAAGAAATGGGCAGAAGACATGAACAGACCTTTCTCCAAGGAAGACATACAAATGGCCAACAGACACATGAAAAAATGCTTCATATCACCTGGCATCAGAGAAATACAAATCAAAACCTCAATGAGATACCACCTCACACCCGTCAGAATGGCTAGAATTAACAAGTCAGGAAACGACAGATGTTGGCGGGGATGCGGAGAAAGGGGAACCCTCCTACACTGTTGGTGGGAATGCAAGCTGGTGCAGCCACTCTGGAGAAGAGTATGGAGGTTCCTCAAAAATTGGAAATAGAGCTACCATACAATCCTGCAATTGCACTACTGGGTATTTACCCCAAAGATACAAATGTAGTGATCTGAAGGAGCACCTGCACCCCAATGTTTATCGCAGCAATGTCCACCATAGCCAAAATGTGGAAAGAGCTCAGATGTCCACCGACAGATGAATAGATAAAGGAGATGTGGTTCATATATGCAATGGAATATTATGCAGCCATCAAAAATGAAATCTTACCATTTGCAATGACTTGGGTGGAACTAGTGGGTATTATGCTAAGCGAAATAAGTCAGTCAGAGAAAGACAATGATCATATCTCACTCGTATGTGGAGTTTAAAAAATAAGACAGAGGATCATAGAGGAAGGGAGGGAAAAATAAAACAAGATGAAATCAGAGACAGCGAAAAATCGTAAAAGACTCTTAATCATAGGAAACAAACTGAGGGTTGCTGGAGGGGGAGTGGGGGATAGGGTAACTGGATGATGGGCATTAAGGAGGGCATGGGATGTAATGAGCACTGAGTATCATATAAGACTGATGAATCACTGAACTCTACCTCTGAAACTAATAATACACTATATGTTAAGTAATTGAATTTAAATTAAAAAAACCCACCATCAACAAAAAACAACAAAAAAGTAAGCACGTAGTGGCTTTTTCTACCAAACTAGGGGTGAGTGTTCCTATTGTATTTCTTCTGAGCAAAGCCTTACGCCGGCAGATCTTGGGGATGGTGGATAAGTACGGCCTGTCTTGAAGGAAAAATACTACTCAGCAATGAAAAGGTACAAACGAATGATGGCAACAGCAACATGGGCAAATCTCAAAAGCATTAGGCTGAAGAAAAGAAGCCAGACACGGAAGAGCACCTGCTATGTGATTCCACTCACAGGAAATTCTAGGACGGGCAAAGAAGGCTGCTCTGACAAGGGAAATCAGCGGTTGCCTCAGGCCAGGGCCAGGGACTCCTGATCGCAGGGGGTCATGAGGGGTCCTCCTGAGGAGTGGGGGTCTGTACTGACTGGGGTGCTGGTCACATGCATGTCAGCTTTTGTCAAAACCTGCCAAAGTGCACACTTAAAATGGGTGCATTTTACTGAGGCAAATTGTACCTAAATAATGATGATTTAAAAACCCCCCACACTGGCCAACAGATGTACTCGGAAAGTTCACTGTCTGGCAGACATTTTGCTCCCGGCTGGGAAGTGGGGCTCCTGCTCTGCCTGCAGTAAGGACATGCCGGACTGAGCGGGGGCTGGGAGGACAGGAGAGCATGTCTATTTCTCCTACTGTTTCGACCATATCCCACGGCTCATTATTCTTCTAGAATCCCAAAATGTTTCAATGCCTAGTGAAACTGATTTTTCAAATATCCCTTATTTGCATGATATAAAGTAGAAAAATATGACTCCATCCTTAAAAATAGATTTTGAGCAAAAATAATTAAAACGTACCTTTTGGATAATCTTCTTTGTCATGTAAATTTTTAAGTATCCGACTAGTATAGATGTTTCTAATTTCAAGCTCTCGATCCTTCTCCTAAAGAGAATCACAATACCAATATTTATATAAATATTTGCTCTGATCAGCCTCCATTTTTTTCTATAAAACAATTTAAGTGGGCTCAGTATTTTTTGAATAAAATCTATAGATGCTAGCAGAAACAGAAATAGGCCATAACCTTATATATCATCCCCGACACCAAAAAGTACTTTTTAACAGAGCAACAGACTTTTGTGACGGGGACAATATCGCCGAGGGCTTTGCGAGCCAGCTTCTTTCACTGGAGGTTTTCTGTCCCCTGGGTCTGTGCCATGAAGTTTGCTCGTTTTTTCTCATGGTCCGGTATAGCACTAGCCACGTTGTGATCTAAACTAATTAAAATGAAATGAACAATTCAGTCCTCCCTCACATTACCCATGTTTCCAGCGCTCAGTAGCTGCCCGTGGCTGGTGACCACACTGTTGAGTGGTGCAGGTAGAACATTCCCATCAGCACAGGAAGTTCTACTAGACACGGCTGCATTTAGACAGTACATGCAGGGTGGGTAAAGCCTAGAACAAAGGCATCATTGTTCAGCTTTAAATCTCAGTATTGACTTTTTATTTTATTATTTTTACTTTTTAAAGATTTATTTGTTTATTTGAGAGAGAGAGAGAGAGAGAGAGCATGAGCACAAGCAGGAGGGGCAGAGGGAGAGAGAATCCCAAGCAGACTCTTTGTTCATGACCCTGAGATCATGACCTGAGCCAAAACCAAGAGTCGGACACTCAGCCGACTGAGCCACCCAGGCGCCCCAAAAGTATTGACTTTTTAAAGTCTTGGCAAAACAAAATGTGTGAAATCCTGGCTTGCTGAGGAAAAAAAAAAAAAAAGGTTTCACTAAGCACCAAACACTCCTCTCACACGTGCATCAAGAGGCAAGCCTGTTAGACTCAAGATCACCAAGTTTTAGCCAAAACCACAGTCAAAAGGAATGTATGAGTGAAGGGTGTCTTCTACTGTGTGATTAGGCAGGAAAGCCTGGAGGAGGGGGCCCAGGGAAGGGTGGGGGCAGAGATGCGGGGTAGGGAGAGAGAGAGAGAGATCGGATGGGGTTCTGGTCTCCCTGTGCCCCTCAGAGATATGAAGAGGGTGAAGAAACAACTCTGAGGTTTGGGAAACTCTCAGCACAGGAGGCCTTGGCGTGGCCCAGGAAATTCAAACGCCTTCATCAAGCCCCCAGGTCAGTGTGGAGCAAGAGTAACATGGCATTGCCAAGTGGTAAGTGGAAAAGGCTAAATGCAATGTCCACGCAAAGGGCTAAAGAGAGTGCTTCCCTCACTTACACAAGGAGTGGGACCCCACAGAGGGGAGCTGTGCAGAAAGCTAGCGAACCTGCTCCCCACTCCTCAAGGTTACTGACCCAGGTGATCCCACAGCATAGGCTTTGGGATCGACGGTCTAGCCAAGGATCAGATGGCAGATGGATCTCAAGGCATTGGCATCCACAGACAACAAGCGAAAATCACTAAGATTGGACCTACTGAGAAGAGGCCATGAGTTTCACCAGCCATATTCAGGTCCTGGGGACTTGGCTAGTTAAGGCCAGTCATTCCTCAGTAGAATTAGGTCTAGAGGTTCCAGAGGGCCAGGCGCCTCTTTCCCCTTTTACCAACAGAACGTGTACGTCCTCCCTGCCCCCTGCCCTGGCTAGATGCTATCTCCATTGAGAAATGGGAGATGGGGTTAGGGAAAACTGCTGCAAGCCTCAGAGACAACCTAAACTCAGACCAGTTTCAACTGGAACAGACTGAGACAAGCTTCTGTATAGTCTCCGTATCTGTCCGTGTCCCCACCTCCCACCTGTGGGAATGGGGCTCATAAGGGAGTACAGTTCAGTTATGGAAAATAAAAAACATTACATATGTTTGCACATCTGACCTGGAGCAGGCAGGGTTTGTATTTATTTTTTATTTTTTTAAAGGTTTTATTTATTTATTTGACAGAGAGAGAGAGAAAGAGAACAAGCCAGGGGAGCAGCAGAGGGAGAAGCAGGCTCCCTGCTGAGCAGGGAGCTCAACGTGGGGCTCGATCCCAGGACCCTGGGATCATGACCTGAGCCAAAGGCAGACACTTAACCGACTGCGTCACCCAGACGCGGCTGGTTTGTATTTATTTTAATCATAAAATTAATCTGCTATCAGAGGTAAATGGATAACATATGAGAATATTAATCTTTTCTAGAAATTAAGTTTCTGGGAACAAAAATGTTACAGTATGTTTCTCTTTTTATTTCTAATTGTGATAACACTGCATTTAGCAAGAAAGAACAGTAATGGGGACACTTTGATGCCACGAAAAATTGATCGAGTTTATTCTAGATATTATGTTTAAGAAGAATATAATGTAGGTCTAAGATTTTTTTTTTTACCCCTACCAGTTAAGACAGGAATGGTTTTGATGTTTAGAGGGACAAGCGTTGATCGTCTGGAAAATTCAGTTATTTCTTTTGATTTGGTCCCTCTCCTTGGAGGCTGGAGTATTTGCTTCAGCAGCAGAGAGCAGGAAGAAGGCAGGTAAGAATGGCTGACTGGCAGGTGGCTGCTGCAGGGCTGGCTGGGGGCAAAAGGAAGTCACGTGAAGGACAGTCCTCCCTCAGGCTTGGAACAAATGTTCAAGTCTGGATGCCCTCCACAGAGCTGGGCTCAAAATCAAAGACAACAGGTTCAGAACGCAACCCAGGACACTTGTGTAGTTGAGGTCAGTTAATCAAGAGAAGCAGTAAGAAGGAAAATCCACATCTAGGAATGCTCATGGAATGCTTGGGGAATATTTATAGGAAAGACTACTCACAAGCTCAGAGACTATCAGGTCAGAGTTCAATGGGAAGTTGGGTCATGGTGGAAACCATATTAAGATCAGGATAGCTGGCTTCCAAAAGACAGGAAACAATATCTTAATAGACAATGCCACTTTGGCAGGGGTGAGCTTGTAGCCCAGATGTAGGGTGGAGCGGCAGTACCTCGTCTGGGAGCTGTGGAAGACTGACATTCTATCCCCTTACTTTGGTCCATACTCTAGAAATGGAGCAGAGTCTAGAATTGCTGTTGGATGACTTCGAAAATGAGTTTCAGGGCACCTGGGGGGCTCAGTTGGCTAAGCGTCTGCCTTCAGCTCAGGTCATGATCCCAGGGTCCTGGGATCGAGTCCCAAATCAGGCTCCCTGCGTGGCAGGGAGTCGGCTACTTCCTCTGCCTCTCTACCCCTCTTGTGCTCCCCATCTCTCTCTCTCTCACTCCCTCCCTCCGTCCCCAAGATAAATAAAATCTTAAAAAGAAAAGAAAAGAAAAGAAAATGAGTTTCAAAGTACAGAAACAGAAATTCTGATCTTTGGGACCATGCCCTCCCAAACTCAGGTATTAATGATTTATGTTAATATGGCAGACTGCATTTTTCTAAAATTGGTTCAGCAATATTTCTGGTCCCATACTCTTCCAGAACCCTGTGACTCCCCATCAAGAGTCCATTGCTCCTCCTCTTGTACTGCCTTGACAAAGGGAATGAGGTGGAAGAGACGCTATGTGACTGGTTCTCTTCCTGTCTGTATCTGTCCACTCTTCTCCTTGGAACCTAGCCGCCATGTTGTGAGGAAGCCCACACCACATGTGGGTGGTTCTGGCCAATACCCCAGGTATGATCTCAGCTGTCAGTTGGCACCAACTGCAGACATATGTGTGAGACTTCAGAGAATTCCAGCCCCCAGTCTTTGAACCACCTTAGCTGATGTCAAGAGTGGCAGAGATGAGCTCTTTCCAGCAAGCCCTGCCCGAATTATGGATTCATGAACAAAATTAATATTCTCATTTCTTAAGCCACTAAAAGTTGTGGAGTAATATGTTATGCAGCCATAGTGACTGAAGCAGTCAGGACACTAAAACATCCTTGAAGTTTCTATTCCTTTTCTCCTTGGGTCAGTACCACGGATGACCATGAGGCATAAGAGGCAATCTCATTTTTCCAGATGAAACAGGACTGGAAAGAAGGTAGGAGTATATCCTGAATGCAGGAAGAAACTATAGGTGATAGGCCATGGGTGTAACGACTGAGTTATGGGAAATGAACCAGTGGATTGTTTAAATTATTTTGTACAACACACTCCTTTGTGTCTTATTTTCCTCCATGTGTTTTTCATCTGTCTTCTGGCTCTTTGTTTTTGGGAGATTTCCTCCATGTCCATGGATTTTCCTTATCTCCTCGCTCTTCTACTGAGTTTCATATGCTGGAATCATCTTTTAGTTTTCACTTGCTGTTTTCTGATTTTTTCCCTGTTCATAACATTCTTACTTTATGGGCATAGTATCTTCTTTCCTGGATATTAAACTAAACCTACAGGGTGAGCTGTTCTGCTTGCTATTCCCGTGCTTTCTTCATGCTGCTGGTTTTCTTCACAGATGTGGTTGCTTGAACATATTTAAAAATAAGGGGCTGGATTATTTTATTTACCTTACTATTTATTTTATACGGAAATTTATTTCTTTAGTAGGCTTCTTTCCTGGACAGGGAGGCAGGCTGGCTCTGGGTAAATCAATGGGACATGCTGACTGTCAGGTTTCACTTTGAGGCAAGTCATTTGACTAAATGCCTCCCACATTCCAGAATGTACTCTCTGAAGGGCTTTACCTGGAATGTCAGCATTTTACCCTGGGTGGCTGGTTTCTTCTCAAGCAATTCATTCACAAACTTCCTGCCTGATGGAAGATGCTGGACTCAGGTACTGTGAGTGCTGTTGACAGGACAGGCAGGTGAGCTTGGTGACTCAGTCCCATGTGCTCAAGTGCTTTTCCCTCCTGTCCTCCGCTGGACAAATCCTTCTCCAGCACCTCTTGCTGTGGCTTCTTCTGCTCTGTGTCATCCACATAAACACTTCCACACACTTTCTGTCTTCAATAAATGTACCCAAATATCTACTGTTTGCCGATGACTTGCCCCCAGCTCTTTGCTTTTGTGTGTCTACTTTCTTTCAGTCCTTTACTGATTCCTTCCACGTTTTGAAGGGAGGGCAGTTAGATATGGGCTATCATCCCCAACAGTTGAGGCCAGAGTGAACAATGTCTTTCTCAGCGCAAACCAGAATCCCCATTTATCTGCTGGTGAATGTGGTGTAAGGTCCCCACCTCTCCTGACAGCAGTTGGTCTCCTGATGCCTGGTCCCACCCCAGAGATTCTGATTTTGCAGGTATGGATGTGGCCAGGGCAATGAGTTTTCAAAGCTCCCCAGATGATGAATGTGTGGCCAAGTCTAAGGACCTCACTTCAGCCAAACGCGAAGATGGCTGCCCCAAGGCTCTGCTCCTGCTGGCCACTTGTGTTGATTCTGAGTTTGGGGTTTCCCTCCCCATTCCTGTTACCTCACCAGCCATTTTTCTGCAGTGTGATTTAGGTTGTGATTATCTGTGTCTAGTTTCTCCATCAATCCAAAAAATTGTTTTTGATCCTTTTATCTTCCAGAAATTCTTTGGCAGTTCTGGTACAATTGTGGTATCTTTTCTGGGGTTATGGGTTATTGTCCCCCCGCCAAGATTTTATTTATTTATTTATTTGACAGAGTGAGACAGCGAGAGAGGGAACACAAGCAGGGGGAGTGGGAGAGGGTGAAGCAGGCTTCCCGCTGAGCAGGGAGCCCGATGCAGGGCTTGATCCCAGGACCCTGGGATCATGACCTGAGCTGAAGGCACATGCTTAACGACTGAGCCACGCAGGCGCCCCAGGTTATTATTTTAAAAGTATGTTTTCTGTCATTTCCATGGTGTTGGGGCAGGAAGGGATTAAAAATGTGTATTTAGCCCATCTTCTTCATCTATTTCAACTCTTTTTTATGCATAAATGTGATTTTTCTTATTTTTCCCTTTGAAAGCATTTTATTATAAAAATATCAAAAATATACAAAAGTAGAGAAAATAGTACAGTGAATCTCCATGAACCAATAAACCAGATTCATCGATGAACAACTCATGCCCTGTCTGTTTCTCTCTACACACCACCCTCTCTGATCTCTGATTCTATTCTCTGTCTGGGAATTATTTTGAGGCAAATTCTAGACATCATATAATTTAATATGTAAGTCCTTCACTGTGTATCCATAGCAGACAAGGGCATCCTTTTTTTTTTTAATGACATAATGTTTATATTTGTTCATAATTTTGTTAAGTTCATGTGATAAGTTTTTGTTATGTTATTCTCTTTGTCTTTTTTTTATTATTATGTTATGTTAAGCACCATACATTACATCATTAAGGGGCATCCTTTTTAAAACCTAACCACAATATCAACAATTTCACCCACCAAAAAAATCAATAATAATCCCATAATATCAAATATTCAGTTTGTTTCACATTTTTCCAACTGTCCTATAATTTTTTTCAAAAGTTTGCTTGAATCAGATTCCAAGCAAGATCCAAAACATTGAAATTAATATGTAAAAGATTTTATTTTTATTTATTTAAGAGAGAGAGGGAGAGGGAGAGGGAGAAGCAGGCTCCCCGCTGAGCAGGGAGCCTGATGCGGGACTCAATCCCAGGACCCTGCGATCATGACCTGAGCCGAAGGCAGACGCTTAACCGACTGAGCCAGCCAGGCGCCCTAATTCTCATCTTTAAAGCACAGTTTATTTTTTTTTTTCTTTTAAAAATATTTTATTTATTTATTTATTTAGAGTGTGAGTAGGGAGAAGGGGCAGAGGGAGAGGGAGAGACAGAATCGGGAGCAGACTCCACACCGAGCATGGAGGCACATATGAAGCTCGATCTCACTACCCTGAGATCATGACCTGAGCCAAACTTGAGTTGGACGCTCAACTGACTGAGTCAATCAGGTGCCCCTAAAACACACTTTAAAAGACAGTTTTGCAAACATTTCCAAGAGAGACTTTAAAATAAATCTGTGGGCCACTAAAGTTACTCACAATATTTTGAAGATGTAAGGCAATTAAAAAAAAACTTAGTTTGGATTCCATTAACATGATAAGAAAACACAATAATATTAATTCATGTGACGGAATGAGAATGTTAACAGGAAGTTTTGTTATGAATAGCTTAGAGATTTGATTTTTCTCAAATCTTTTCTCAGCACATAATTCACCAGGCTGTGAACTCATCCAGTAATTTCAGATCCTCTATCTGTTCATATGGTTGTAGGGACAAAAAGTTAATTTGAGAAATAGATTCTTGAAGTTAAATAATTTAAAGAATAGCTTTGATATTTTGGGAAGCAGAACTTCACAAATTTTGTTACACTGTGCTTTAAAAGAAGTACCTTAACTTTTTGCTGAAGGCGTTTTATTTCCATTTGCAGAGTCTTTGTAGCTGCTTGAGCTGCTAAGGTCTTCCGGGTCTCAATGGCCAGCTGCCGATTAAAGGCTCTATTGTTCAACCTCAGTTGTTTTTCCAAGCTCTGAAAACAGTATATATTTCAACTCTTCAGTAACCAGTGTAGTATTGTTAAAAAAAAAAAACACAAAACTTCAATTGTAATGGAACTAATTGCATTTATGAGAAGTGTGAAGTTTTAATACAATTTTAGTGCATGACTGCTACAGGGGACATAGATTAGAACTAAATATAACCACACATACAGACAGAAAAGCCAAAAAACCCCAGATCACAACTCTAGAGAATCGATATATTTTGAACCTAATGTTTTTTACACTCTGGAATTTGATTAAAAAAATACAAACCACCTTTGAACATTTCTTGAAAATGAATAAATATGCCACGCTTTAAAACTCAACCCAAGAGGTCGTGCTAACATGGCAGGTGCATTCAGGAACTCTGTCAAGCCTCGGTCGCTGGAGGGCTGTCCAGCAGCCGGCAGCTGTGCGGGCTCGAATGCGGGCTCAACTCTCCGCTGACAGACCCTGGAAGCTCCTGCAGGGACTCACCCTCCACCCCCCCTCCCCAAGGAGGGAGGAATTCTAAGACCAGAAGGTCTCTGCCAGCACCGCGGCCATCTGCACCCAGGGCTCACGGTTATGCGGGCACCTCCCCTCCATCCCCTGCAGAGCATGAGAGTTGTATTGCAGAACTCTATGGTCTGGACTTGGACAGAGGCTTGGCCGAAAGGCCTTTTCTTTCCTTTTTTCCCACATTATAGTATTAATACTTTCTCATTAAAGAAAAACGGGCAATATGGTAAGCTAGAAGGATGAAATAATCACTAAAAACCCCAGTCTCCAAACTATTAACATTAAAAAAAAATACATGTTTTGGCTCATAAACATTTTCTCCAACCACCAAATGCCCTGCAGCCAAACAAAATTTCCCATATGACTAAGTGCATCTGGTAAGAAAATAGTTCTTGAATTCTTTTTGGTTTTGGTTACAGATATAAAACAGGAACTACTTAACATGTATATGTAAAAATATGTAGATGAGATAAAAATACATTTACTTTTCCCTGACGGACACGTGCTAAGATGGGTCCAGTATTACCTGGAAGGTCAAATAATAGAACTTCGGATTATGAATTACATGACTGAAAATGAGGCTGCTCATCATTTTCTGGAGCTCACATGCCCGTTTTATGGGAGAAAATTCTCTTTGAAAATAGAGGATTTTTACCAAAGAGGAAGTAACCGATAAAAAAGTACATGAAATGAACTTGATATTTTCTTATTTCAAGTTCATAAAAAAATCGGCCTCTTACCATCATATAATAAGGCATTAAGCAGTACATTTTTTAAGTTTATGTTTGTCCATAGAGACCAAGGGCTAACATAAAATTGGCAGAATTCTCAGTAGAATCAGGGTGTTCTCCCAAATCATCCCTTATAGTACAGTCCCCGAGCCTTTGATGACCATGTGCCATTCAGGAAGATCAACGTGTTCATGTCAATGATTGTAGTTCCTTTCCCCTCGCTGTTCCCAGGAGCATTATCTGGGAAACGCTTCTGTTGCAACATACCAACAATGTCTGTGCAGTGGTGAGAAGACAGTTGACCAGGGAATACGAGGAAAGGGGCGGGAGAGATGCAGGGGGCAGGCTTTTAGGAAAGTAGGCTTTTAATAAATAGTTTGAAGTAGAAGGTTAGCAGATTCTAAGAGGTTTCACCCACCCAATCCAACCCAACCCAACCCAACCCCATACAACCCAACAAACCTTTCCAGCACACGAACAGGCTTAGAGAATGGTCATTTCCAGACAAACAAGCCCTGCCACAGGATGAGCTCACTAGACCACAGAAGGAACATTTCCCCTTCCCCCGCCCCTGAACCCCCCTTAGACAGCATCACTGGTGTGGCCCTGCAGGCAAAGCAGCTGGTGATGCTTCACTGCACAGGGGCAAGCGTGATGCATGTACACCCTCTCCATGTCCATTTTGGAACATTACAATTTCTCTGAAATACGGACCTGTATTTTTTTGTCATTTGCCTCCATTTTTGTTGTAAGAACAGACAATCTTTGAGTAAGTTCCTCCCTCTCTGCAAGGTTTTTGTCTTCAGAAAGTTTCTGCAGTGCCTGCAAGGCATCTTTAGTCTTCAGCAGCTCACTGCCAGCTTCTCGAAGTTTCCTAGATGCACTTCTTTCCTTTTCCTGGGATTGCCTAAGTAGCTGCCTCAAATTTTTGACTTCGTTCTGATGTTTTGCCATAATTTGAGGTAGATTATTTTGTGAATTCTCATATTTCCCTATAGCTTTCAAGTGCCTAAGCTGAAGCTGTTTCAAAAATTGATTTTCTATGACCGTGGCTTCCAATTTACGATGGATATCCCCTAGTTCATTTTTTAACTCTTTAATCTTATGAAGCCTTGCTGAGAGTATGCGATGAGTCATAGCGTCTCTTCTTTGGGTAATCATACTGTTTTGGGAATTTAAAAGTGGTGCATTCCAGTTGTGCTTTTTTTCAACTGAGATTTCCTTCTGGCCTGTGTAAGCAGATAATCCAGTTTGTTACTAGTAATATGCATACACATACGCTGATATGCACGTTTGTGTTCCCCCACCCCCATCCCGCACACGTGCGCACATACACAGGCAAACTAGAAGGGAAAAGAGCATGTAATGAATAGCCACGCTCCAGGGCAGGGATTTCATATGCAGAATACTCTGTTCAAGGTCAGCAGTAGTCTATTTAACAGCTGAAGACTGTAAGTCATTTGTCCAAGGTTATATAACCACAAAGTCACATGGAATGGATTGAAAAGCAGGTCTTCTTTGACTGAAAAACCTGTACTTACTTCTATTATTAAAGCTATACTAAAAACCATAATAATAGATAACATTTACTAAGGGCTTACCGTGTGTTAAGCATTGAACTAAATGCTTTATGTAGATTATCTGATATAATCCTTCCAATAATATGTTATGAGGCAATTAGAGTGTAACCTTAGAGTCCAATGTTATATATGAAGACCTCATATATTCAAAAGGACCCTTAGAAAGCCATTGAGCTGCTTAGAGGAAATATACGGATATTCCATTTCTCAGTAAATCCAACATCGACAATTTTTCCTGTTAGTTTGGGCTTTAAAGAAATACAAGTTGGCTTGTATTCAGAAGTCTGTTTTAAACAAAATGTATCTAAACAATATTACTCCCAGCTTATAAGCACCAAGCTTATATAACTGCATTGAGTGTGTCAAATGTATATGTAACCTCACTGCATTATTATCCCCTTTTAAAGATGAACAAACTGATGCTTTGTGAAGTCACTTACGGATGGGCACACAGCTAGTAAGTGGGAGACAGAACCCCGGTCCCATATGTACGTGCATCCATATGACATTTCTGTACATATATGTGCACACTGCAGATGTGTGTACATATTATTATATTTATATTCTGAGAGAGATTGAAACTAGATTCTAGGATCTAAAAGAAACATGGTCTTCATCCTGGAGTGAGAAAGCACTTAGTGACCAGTGTCACTGGAGTCCTAACCTGAAGCTATTGGCCCAGCTGTGGACCCATCATCTGAGACTCGGCTTAACACGTTTGGCCTAGGTGATGGGAAAGGTGGTTCTGCCTGCAGTGGAAGTGAGCGAGCAGAAATCGAGGGTGCTTTAGGGGATAAAGCATTTCAATCTTGCCTATGACAGACTACACAGGGATGACACGATCATAGTATCTGTATCACATCAATAGTTGATGGACTGTCTTTACAACTATGCCTCCAAAGGTCCTTATTTTCCCACCGGGAACAATTTAATAAGGGCTCTGGTTGGATATTTGAGTATTTTGGAATAGGTTTTTGAGCACACTGAAAATTGGAAAGCGGAAGCCATTCTCTAGGACACCTACTGGAAGGCCAGGCACTTTAATACCTTAGGAGCTGGCTAGGGGAATGGCAGACCCAGGCAGTGTGGATCGGGCTGGATTACAACAGAGGTGGGTGGGGCTGTCATGTCCTACACCATGTCCAGCATGACTGAAGCCTGACTCCCAACTTAGAATATTTTACACTCTTGGGTGGTGTGACTTGGAGGAGAGAGGGATTTCCATGGGACCAGAAGGATGAGGGGTGGTGGGCAGTGAAGGCTTCTGTCTCTGTCTTATGCTGTGCTCACGTGATGGGAGGGTAGAGTCAGAATGAGTGGGTGCCTGGGATGAGTCCCTGTGGCCGTGGGAGCACTGGCCAAAGCTCCAGGAAGAAGTGTGCATACAGGGGCATGGGTAGTTTGAAAACAGGAGGTATCAGCCTCTTAGTGATCAATGTGCTTGGACAAGGAGCACGTAAGTGATGAGAAGGAAGGACCAGAAGCCCTTCCCCGGTGTTCTCATCTGTATAAGGCCACCCACACTCTCTCCATCCCCCAAACACGCCCGAGATTGCATTTTTTGCCTACCTTAGTGGGTGTTTGGGGGAGGATGAACCAGATCTGTTTGCTTCAGAAGGTAAATATACCACTTGTGTTTGAGTGATACAGAATAAATTCATACTATACATATTATGCATACTTGTATACTAATTAAGGTTATGGAAAGTTGAAGCAGGGTTTAGTCAATGATTTTGTATCTCATTACACTAACATACACATGTAAGAATGACAAAATTTACAATTTCTTTCTTTCTTTTTTGTTTTTTAGTTAACATATACTGTATTATTAATTTCAGGGGTAGAATTTAGTGATTCATCAGTTGCACGTCACACCCAGGGCTCATCACATCACGTGCCCTCCTTAATGCCCACCACCCAGCTACCCCATCCCCCCACCCGCCTCCCCTCCAACAACCCTGTTTGTTTCTTAGAGTTAAGTGTCTCTTACAATTTCTATCTCATTTTATACAATGAGGCAGATTTGGCCTAATGATTAAACTACTCTTAATGAAGTGACTAAATTAATTTTGATTGCACCAAAATTAATTTGCCCCAATTTATGACCAGGTATCTTGCATAAAACACTCAATAAATATTTGTGGAATAATAAACAATTTTTAAAAGTTAAATTATCAGGCACTTAGAACCCAAAGTACAGTTATTGTAGAAATAATTTTATAAATTCTGCCTTTCATGCCGCCCCACAAAAGTGTAGAATCAATATAAAATGCAGTGTATAGAGCCATGATCCCTGTCATAAAACCCTGGGGCTAGACTGTTTCTGAATTATTATTATTATTCTGGTGCATATACAGTATTCTCCATAGTACTCCCAGAAGTTTTGGGGACAGCAGACTTTAATCAAAGAATATTTTTGTGAAATATAGGACTCTTCACACTAAGTGAACTAAAGATCAGTCTCAGTTTTTGGTGCCAAATCAGTTTAGGTGCCAAAAATATAGAAAATGTTTGATTTTCAGAGTTTTGTAAATTACAAATGTGGATAAGGGATTGTAACCAGGGAGCCTACTGACGATGTGGGTTCTATTGTGATAATCTCTTCCAAATGCCACAAACAGACTTCTTTTGACAGGGTCCCATGTGAGAGAAGGAACTGGATCTTCCATCTCCTACCCTGGGCCTTGCCTGTGAGTGTGAGGCTCCCACCTCTCTGGGAAAGGGGCTTTTAGCCTTTTGAGAATCTGGTAGAAGCTCATGGGTCCTTCTCCCTCGAAAAGTTTACAAATCCAAATAGACACAAAAAATGCAAAGATTTTCATGGGGCCCACAGACATGGGTCTTAGATTAAGAATCCCTACCCTACAGTTTGGAAGAAGGGGACCTGAAGATTCTAGACGATCCAAAAGTAGCCCAGGGAGTCCTAGGCACACCTGGTCACAGGAGGCTGGGGGTGGTTGATATGGGTACTGTAACAGTAGGCATGTTCCACATATAGTATAAAGTGCTTAAGTATTTTCCAGCTGTTGACCGATGGCGGTTCTGATGGTCAAGTGGAAGAGAGTTTCACCTATTTCTCTATTAGGGGTATTTATAAGCCCAGAGTTGCCTAAAATGGGAGGGAGTCATCACGGTCCAGGCAGGGAGGCAAGGAGCGAGATCAAGGATATCACAAGGCTCCTTGAGCCCTGTGAATTGTGCAAGAGTGCTGAATCACAGATCTGTACCTCTGAAACAAATAACGCAATATATGTTAAAAAAAAAAAAAAGAAGAAGAAGATAGCAGGAGGGGAAGAATGAAGGGGAGTAAGTCAGAGGGGGAGACGAACCAGGAGAGACGATGGACTCTGAAAAACAAACTGAGGGTTCTAGAGGGGAGGGGGGTAGGGGGATGGGTTAGCCTGGTGGGTATTAAAGAGGGCACGTACTGCATGGAGCACTGGGTGTTATGAACAAACAATGAATCATGGAACACTACACCAAAACAAATGATGTAATATATGGTGATTAACATAACAATAAAAAATTAAAAAAAAAAAAAGGAATGGATGGAGTTGGTGCTCCTACGGGTCCGCGAGGGAATTACATTATTAACACCCTTTGGAACCACCCCTGTTTCAAAGAATGATCTTTGCCTCACCGGACTTGAAGCCCATCTTCTTGGGGTATTGAAACAGGTTTTTACATTTCATTGGCAATTCAAACCTTGGTTCTTCTGCTGAGATGAAGGGCAAGAAGCCAGTGAGATCCAAGTATCTGTAACGAGGCCACCTGTTAACTAAAAACGGAACCAACCTCACCAGTGGGCTCCGGGAGGGTAAGTTGGGCAAGAAGGCTAGGCTTTACATTTTCAGCCTAACTTCCTGCCGTTTTGTCATGATTCTTAATTTCTCTGTTTTCTAATTCCTTCTATAAAAGTTCCCCTATACAGACACATTTAAAACATGGGAGGACAATAAAACGGAATGTGGACTACTTCAAATACTAGTGCCTTAAATAATAATGTCATTAGAAACAGAAATTTGGTCTTGCTTGGGAAGTGTTGCTTCTTACCTTTAGACTGGGAGATTTTAGAAACGTACTTTTTCTTCCCGTCCTTTTTTTTTTTTATCACTGGCTTCTCTAAATAATTTCTATTAAGAGCGGTTTCTGAACATTCAGAGAGAAAGTCTTCTGAGTAATCACAGCGAGAACTTAAACTTCTGCAGGAACACTGGGATCTGCTATAGTCAACACTCCTATCGGAGGTGTGCCCGGGACTGCCACTGGGACAGTCACCTGTGCCCAGGCAGCCCCCGCACTCAGCGGCCATCCTACTGGGTCCTAATGCCGCACCGGGGAGATGCCCGTCTATGTCTGTTTCTGCTGGACCAGCCAGAGACATAGTAAACAACCTGACAGAAGAAAAGTATTTTTAGATTTACAGCTATTGACATTAAAATGAACCTATGCTTTATTATATTTAACTATAAATGGAGGACTAGGAAAGGGAAACAACACATTCCTTTGAAGTTATTTTCTGGAAAAAATCTCAGTTTGGCTTTTATGTTTTCCCCACCTAAGATATGAGACCCCTGAGACCAAACTTTGGTGAGATTATGCTTACAGGTAATGTAAGATAAGGTTCACATCAGAGAACAACAATGACAACAATTTATGAATTAGTGAATTACATCCTCGTTTTCTAAAGATGCTGACATTTTTTGCCTTTAAGAAAATGACAGTATGTGGTAAGTGTGGGTGGCCTGTATGAAGTGCAACACTTAGGAAAGTCAGACATATTTGTGGAGATGCACATACTTTTATTTCTTAGCGATGAAATCACACTTCTGAGATTAAACAAATAGTATGGAATACAACTAATTAATCTACTAGTTCTCTAGAGTTCATATTCATTCTAAAATTAAGAGCAAGAGTGGGTCCCAGGGATGTACGCTTGATCCATGATTATAAGGCTTTTTTATATTTTAATTAAAAAATTTGCATTCCTTTCTGTGCTTCATTTAGACTATTATAACATGAATATGACTTCCGTGATTATATGCTACATGATGAGAGAAGCAAGTCAGAAAAACATGCTGATTTGCATGGAAAAATCATCCAAGTGTTGGAAGCTTTTTGAAGACAACCCATCCAATGGAAAGTTCACATTTGTTTAATAAAGAACTGACTGTATTTGCAGCTACACAAAGACCGAACTTCTATAAATAATGGATTTGGAAAAAATCAAAACTAAGTTTGTCTAATTATTATAAATTTATCTATTCAATGTGAAAAAGCAAAATCTTACTTGGAAATTAAACAACAATAAAGTAAAGCTGACTTCAAAGAAATGTGTTTAAAAACTAAACATGAAAATGAAATTTTGTGATGTGATCCTAATTTCTCATCAGGGACAAAAGATTCCACATAGTCCAAAGTCCTTGTAACCGAAGTCCATGGCTGAAAAACTTAATTTAATTAAGACCTAGACAGAGTCACTTTTATTTCGGGTAGATTAGATTCAAATTAAGTACAAGTACAATGTGATTTAAACATAGTAGTTCTTCAGGAATGTTTAGATCAGGAGTGTTTTAGTTCAGTGAATCACTCCCCAAAGCAACTTTCACATACTGCTTCAGGGGTCCATGCAGCTAAAGTAACCCTAGCACCCTGCTTAATTAACATTCAGTGAAAAATAAGTTACTGTATTTTACTTCCACTTTATTTTTAAGTTCTTGGTATAGAGCCTAGGCAGTAGTATTGAACTTGACTGAGTGGAGTAATTTGTGTGACAAACAAGGCTGGGTGACAGTGTCTCTCACACAAACTCTCCTACACACGCCCCACGAGGTCTGCAATACTCCATCCTTCTTGTTTGATCGAAGGGCCCTGGGAGAGATGACAGCCCACAGTTAAATGCACACTCCCCAAGAACACGAAAGTTTCATAGGAAATTTAGCTCTCTGAGGTGGAGTCCAGCTCCAAGATAGCTCAGGGCAGCTACTACATAGCTCCTCACGTGGCCCTTATCCACAGTAATTTAGAAAGCGTGATTCCAATGTACTCAAGGTTTTTTTCTCAAGTAATCTCTATGCCCGACGTGGGGCTCAAACTCACAACCCTGAGATCAAGAGTCGCACCCTCCACTGAGCCAGCTGGGCGCCCCTGCACACGAACTTTGGATACTGTTGATAAGCTCTTAGTTGTCCGAAGTGAGAATTCAAAATGGAGAGAATATGCAATCAAACACAAGAAGGACCCCACACGTGGGCCCTCTAGAACACTAACTTTAGTTACACACCAGACGGTTCTGCAATCCTCTATGATGCCGTGAGGATCTGTCAGATCAGCACACTCAGAACAAACTCATCATCTCCCAGGGGCTTTACAAGGGTTTTTTTTTTTTGTTTTTTTTTTTTCATTTAATACCCCCAATTCTTCTGTTTTATCAAGAAAGCAAAAGAGAAATTAGCTGCCACCAGACACTTCCCCACAGGGATCTAATGTCCTCTCTACTGAGTTTTTTGGGGGGTTTTTTGGTAAATCAGTTTCTGCCTCTTTCTGCCTTGGTTTGACTCTCAAGCTTTCTCTTCGTCTCATGGAACACAGGAGGTGGTTCACCATCTCCCTGCTGCAGGAATCTTAGCCCCAATTATCCTACTATTAACATCATTATTGTACTTAATCTTTTGTGAGTGATTTTACTTCCCACAAGCTGTGTTCACATCATCTACTCCCGGCCACGTGAAGGGGACGGGCTCAGACGGGTGAAGCAGTTGTTCATGTTTTCCCCCTTCGAGGTCGGGAGTTTTTTCATTAAGCATCACAACAGCAAACATCACGCTGGTGGTAACATCACACATCCTAAGGCAAAGAATCGATCTTTCCAGACCCGTTCTGCTGTTTTAACAGTGGACAGACGCACAGGCAAAGATCCTTACTTTTGAACCTTTGCAAATGGATTAAGAAGAGACCGAGATGTTGGTGTATGAGATCCCGAAGGACCAAAAATGTCCCGCTGTGGCCCTCATAGCCTTCCCTGTCCTTGTTCCTGGGAGGGATTCCCCCTCACCCTTTCTTGTTCATGACTTCAGCTCCTAACTTGCTCCCCATCCATCCTGATAAATCCACATCCCTGCGAGAAGCTAATAGCCACTAATCTCTGAGAAGAATTAGTTCTTGACCAGGTGTTCTTGGCTGACCTCTTCTTCTAAAGCCTCTATAAAAATTCCCTCCTCCTTCCTCAGAACACTCCTTTGAGAAAGCCATCCCAGCATTGTAGGATACAGGCTTAATTCAAGAGTGTGTTTCATTTACAGTCACAAATTTTCCAACAGCTGCAAGAGTGGGAGTGTGCCCGTCGAAGGTGACACTTTGAAGGCAGACCGACGTGGGTTTGAACTTGAGTCTGTCAATTAGTTAAGTGATCTTGGCCATTTATACAACGTGATTAACAACACTATTCCATGGGGTTATTATAGGGAGAAATGAGACAGTGTTTGTAAATACCTAACGCGGAACCAAAGTATGCAATCAATGAAAACTAGTTCCCTTTTGGAAGAGTAATTCTAGGACAAATGCCAGGACTCTCCAGGGCATTCTCTGTGTCTTTATGTGAGAGATGCAGCCATGAGTCAGTCTATTTCCCCATCGACTATTTTACTGGGAACAATTGCTTGACTAACGTCCTTTGACTGAAAACTCCCCAAAGATAGAGACTGTTTTGTTCCTGTTGTAACTTCAGGCCTAGCAGGGTGCTGCCACACAATCAGTATTTGCAAATGCTTGAATAATGATCACCACCGTCACTACCGTACACTGTATGCCAAGCAGAGCTAGGAGCTTACATAGAGTAGCTTACTTCATCATGAGGACAGTCCTGTGTAATGGGTATTAGTAACCCTATTTTATAGATGAGCACCCTCAAGCCCAGAAAGAACCCGTCCAAGGTCACAAATCTAGAGTAGGAGAGCTGAGTTTTGAATCCAGGTCTGTCGGCCTTGAAATTTTTTTTCACGTAAACCATACTACTTGACCCCAGGTGGACATAATTTGACCCAACTTATTTATCACGGAAACCTTAAAATGTTAAATTATGTCAAATCCTGTGACAAGTCTATGGGAAAAACTTGCTATTCAGCTTTTCATGTTTTACCTGTAGTCTTGAGCCCCAAATCTGAGACTATATTGAAAATTATCACTCATCCCTTAATCTTTCAGATTAATCAGTACAACTCACTTAGAATCTGACATGACAGGAACAGGGAGATGATGAATATAAGGAGGTTAGGGTGGAGGAGTATTCTTTTCCATTCTTAGATTAGAATATTGAGGTTTGACGATGTGTTTATACTCCACTCCATCTACATTAAAAAAAAAAATCCCTCTGAATCACATGCTCACAAAGGGCTAAAATGAGCTTTGATTGTCCCATGTCTGATATAGCAGAAAGCTAGCCATCCTGGTCTCTTTGTTTAATCAACATTGATATTACAGGGAGAAAAAGGGGGAAAATTCTTTAAAAAAATTTTTTTTAAAGATTTTATTTATTTATTTGACACACACACAGAGAAGGAGAGAGCAAGCCCAAGCAGGGGGAATGGCAGGCAGGGGAGAAGCAGGCTCCCCGCTGAGCAAGAAGCCTGATGATGCAGGGCTCAATCCCAGGACCCTGGGATCATGACCTGAGCCGAAGGCAGCAGCCCAACTGACTGAGCCACCCAGGGGCCCCAAAAGGAAAAAATTCTAATGGGAATCCACTGGAGCCAAATAAGCTTTAATGTCTATAGACAATCTCCCTCATAAAACAGTTCTATCAGATTAAAATGTACCCTAATGGAAGGCTTTATAGGTTTAGCTATAAAAAAGAAGGTGCATCCAGGGGTGCCTGGGTGGTTCAGTCGTTGAGCGTCTGCCCTCGGCTGAGGTCATGATCCTGGGGTCCTGGGATCAAGCCCTGCATCAGGCTCCCTGCTCTGCAGGGGGCCTACCTCTCCCTCTCCCACTCCTCCTGCTTGTGTTCCCTCTCTTGCTATGTCTCTCTCTCTCTCTCTGTCAAATAAATAAATAAAATCTTAAAAAAAAGAAGGTGCATCTGAAAGCATTATTGCCCTCCTCATTTAGATTTGCAAGAACCATAAGTCTCTATTGATGGCTGAATTGTTCCACTGTATACTGTCTCTATTTTGCAAGGTCTCTATAGCTAGGAGGCAGTAATTGTAGCTCCTTTAACATGCTTGGAAAAAATCACATGCAATTAAAAATGTCTCAGTGAGGAGATGCCGTATTAGCAAAACTGTCCATAATCTCTCTTGCTCACTAATTCACCTAATGAAATAGGTATAGTTTCCATAGGATGGGCCAAAATGTGGTCTTAGTATAAAGAAATGTGTGTGTGTGTGTGTGTGTGTGTGTGTGTGTGTGTGTGTGATAGGTGGATAGAAAATTCTTTATTGTCACCAATTATCTAGTGGATATACTGTCAGCTTGTTTTTTTTTTTTTTTAAAGATTTATTTATTTATTTATTTGACACAGAGAGCGAGCACACAAGCAGGGGGTGCAGCAGGCAGAGGGAGAAGCAGACTCCCCGAGGAGCAGGGAGCCTGACACAGGGCTCAATCCCAGGACCCCAGGACCATGACCCAAGCCAAAGGCAGACGCTTAACCGAGTCACCCAGGTGGCCCCTTTGATACATTTCTATAGTACGTGGTGTGAGGCACAGTCACTCTACTATTACAACCTAATCTATTTCACTGAAAAAAACATAAGTAACTTTGGATTTATTGGGTTCATTGATCTATCACTGTCTCATAATTAAAAAGGCACAAATACTTTATGTAGTAAGAGGGACTTTGCAGTGATCAGGTGAAGGGCCCTGACGTGAGGAGATTACCCATGTGGGTCTGATGTAAATACAAACTGTAATTTCAATACATATCCTTAAGATGTTAATTGTTTTGGAATTTACTAAATTTAAAAGTTGTCATAAATGCTTTACATAGTGCTATATTCTTTTGAGAGAGTATGTTTACAACCTGGTGAGGCCCACGATGTGAACTGGCCGGCCCAGGGATTTACTAGAACTCATTAATGTTAGTGTTACTAATATCAGCTTTTAGGTAAACTTGATGTGCTTCTTTCTGCTATAATAAATAGAAAGATAATTGTTCTTAGTATTAGTAGTAGTCTTGGACAAAAACAGGTTATGAGAAAAATGGGGACCAGACGGTTTCATATTAAGCAGTTCAGTAATGATTGTACCAACACTTGAATGAGTTTATTAGGTGATTCACCAACATTTAAATGATCATTTTTAATGCATCCAATAGTTCAATGTATTTGCCTTACTGAGAGCATATATATATATATTTTATTATTATGTTATGTTAATCACCATACATCATTAGTTCTTGATGTAGTGTTTCATGATTCATTGTTTGCGTTTAACACCCAGTGCTCCACGCAGAACGTGCCCTCCTTAATACCCATCACCAGGCTAACCCATCCCCACACCCCCCTCCCCTCTAGAACCCTCAGTTTGTTTTTCAGAGTCCATTGTCTCTCCTGGTTCGTCTCCCCCTCCGATTCCCCACCTTCATTCTTCCCCTCCTGCTATCTTCTTCTTCTTCTTCTTCTTTTTTTTTTTAACATAGAATGGATTATTTGTTTCAGAGGTACAGGTCTGTGATTCAACAGTCTTGCACAATTCACAGCACTCACCATAGCACATACCCTCCCCAGTGTCTATCACCCAGCCACCCCATCCCTCCCACCCTCCACAACTCCAGCAACCCTCAGTCTGTTTCCTGAGATTAAGAATTCCTCGTATCAGTAAGATCATATGATACATGTCTTTCTCTGATTGGCCTATTTCACTCAGCATAATACCCTCCAGTTCCATCCACATCGTTGCAAAGGGCAAGATCTCATTCCTTTTGATGTCTGCATAATATTCCATTGTATACATATACCACATCTTCTTTATCCATTCATCTGTCGATGGACATCTTGGCTCTTTCCACAGTTTGGCTAGTGTGGACATTGCTGCTATAAACATCGGGGTGCATGTACCCCTTCGGATCCCTACATTTGTATCTTTGGGGTAAATACCCAGGAGTGCAATTGCTGGATCGTATGGTAGCTCTATTTTCAACTGTTTGAGGAACCTCCATACTGTTTTCCAGAGTGGCTGCACCAGCTTGCATTCCCACCAACAGTGTAGGAGGGTTCCCCTTTCTCCACATCCCTGCCAACATCTGTAGTTTCCTGACGTGTTAATTTTAGCCATTCTGACTGATGTGAGGTGGTATCTCATTGAGGTTTTGATTTGGATTTCCCTGATTTCGAGCGATGTCAAGCACTTTTTCATGTGTCTGTTGGCCATTTGGATGTCTTCTTTGGAAAAATGTCTGTTCATGTCTTCTGCCCATTTCTTGATTGGATTATTTGTTCTTTGGGCGTTGAGTTTGATAAGTTCTTTTTAGATTTTGGATACTAGCCCTTTATCTGATATGTCATTTGCCAATATCTTCTCCCATTCTGTCGGTTGTCTTTTGGTTTTGTGGACTGTTTCTTTTGCTGTGCAAAAGCTTTTTATCTTGACGAAGTCCCAATAGTTCATTTTTGCCCTGGCTTCCCTTGCCTTTGGCGATGTTTCTAGGAAGACGTTGCTGTGGCTGAGGTTGAAGAGGTTGCTGCCTGTGTTCTCCTTTAGGATTTTGATGGACTCCTGTCTCACATTTAGGTCTTTCAACCATTTTGAGTCTATTTTTGTGTGTGGTGTAAGGAAATACTAATCCATTAATTTTAATCAAAACATGATCTTATCAAAACAGTTTTTGGAGTGGTGGTCAACCACATTATTGTTTTAATCTGTTTAGTTTTTGGGTCATTTGTTACACAGGCATAGATATATTTTCTCAGGATGGTTCAGTTACCAAAAGAATTACTTGACGTTAACATAAACGATACCCACTAAAGAGACAGAACATTCTTAGAATTTTGGAAGTCCCAGGACCCCAGAACTATTCTAAAATTTCTACCTATAGGACCTTAATATGGGTCTGTTTTGGTTCACCTGTGATAATTCCATTCTTTTTCATGACACTGATGTATGAGATCCATCATGGACAATGTAAAATGAAGTGTAATTTTTGGTTATTGCTAGTCAGCAATGAGATGTACTGTAAATGCTTGTATCAAGCAGCCGTCTGGGATAGTCAGTCTGTTAAACACCAGTTTTCTCATTGATCTGTTAAAATTGGATTGATGACTAGTATCAGGTCTATAAATACACTTTTAAGTTGATGAAACTGCTTTTGAGTGTCTTTGTATTAATATAACTAGGCAATACCTCATTGTTATCAATTAAAAATATATGCAGGCTCCACACATATGGATTTCTGATTATGTGGTTCATTACTGAAAAATCTAGGTCTTAGGCCAACCATCTAATATTGTTTTTAGCTAATTAACTTATTGATTAAAATGTTCAGTCAAAGAACATTTATTTAGTATCTACCAGGCACTGGGGTTATGAAGAAGGCAAACCTCTGCCTTCAAGGATTTAAAACTACGTAGTTAGTAATTATGTTATGAATGCTTAGTATAGAGCAAGCAGACTAGTTTCTGATACACCAGTTTATGGTGGTGTATGGTTCAGATTTTGGTATCATTTATATTTTGAACACTAACTAGTGTTTAGAGTATAAAAGTGCCTGTTTGATTGCCCTCGAAGCATAATTGCACTGTTTCTATCATAACAGGATTTACAGTGGTTTCTTTGCTGTTATGACTCAGGAATACAACCACAATTAAAAACACGGCTTAAATGGAAAAAATGTAATCCAGTTGATGATATGCTTTTCTGGGACGCACTACAAGAAGGGATGGCTGCCCAGAAGAACAATACATTCGTGTATCATGATCGTTTAATTATAGAATTAGAAAGAAGAATGTTCAAGGTCAAGATATACATTTGAATCGTCCTGAAACCACACTTTTGTGTAGTTGTCTTCAAGTCTGCTTTTGCACAAAAGCAGACCAAAAAAATACGCTAAAATGTTTTAAAATGAATTAGTGCATACCTGCTGTCCTTTATCAAATGTTCCTAAGATGTATGAAGATCAACTATATGTTCTGAGCGGAGGGTTCTTCACACTGTAGTCTTTATGAGGTTTCCAGGGCACTATTTTTTGACATGTTTTGGTCTCTCTTTAAGGAAAGAATATATTTCAAAAAACCTAGAATATTACAAAAGGAAAATATCAA